ATGGCGGCAACATGGAAACTCGGGGAGATGCTTTGTTGGAGCTGAATTACGTATTCTCTACAGCTCCACCTGGAGACACTGTGGAACGGCACCATCCTACTCGTTCCTGAGCCTAAAAGGAGCTAAAAGAAAGCACTCAGACACAAAAGAGAGCCATATAGCCCCTGACACCAACCGAGAGTCTGCCAACAGCTCAACAGATGCATGATCCACTTCCCCTTTGCTAACAAAGTTATTTGATTTTGCAGGACGACAGAACAATTTTAAGTGGTAGAATGCTAAATTTAAAATGTTTGTTTGAAATAGCTATCATAAAAAAGCTTCTTTTTTTTTAGATTTACCCTGTTGGTGGTTTTCTAAAACAACCTTCTGCTGTTAAACCTAAAATTTTGTCACCTATACCTCACAACGGGCTGTTTAACATTTTCATTTTAATGCCACACACACTAAAACACATTTATTGAAACCAACACTGATGCTGAGCTAACATGTTAACAAGTGCTGTTATTCTTTAGTGGTCAAGAGAATAGTCTAGTTTTAAACTGATAAAAGCTCCACTTTTTTTAAAGAACACAAAACAAAATACTAAAAAAAAAAAATGCCACCACCTCCCCTTTACTTAAATGGATATAAATATTCACATGTTTAAGTCTAAGTGGATTATGTAACAACAACATGTTTTGGTAAACAGCTAAAAAAAACTGCACACTAGTCAGTTTATTAACATTTTCAAGCCAATAAAAGGAAACAGAAATGTTGTTTGCATGAAACTCACTGCCAGTCTCACTGTTACCGTGTGCAGGTTTGAACAGGATCGTTTTTAATTAAGATTGCAGAAAAGTTGCCCGCAGTTTATCAAAGATGTCAACAGCTGGCGGAAAACCACCCCAAAAAAAAAAAAACACACAGGAAAGTCTGTGTCTGCTAAATATGACTCTCTTATAAAAAGCTTTATGTGGAGGAAGAGAAAGAAATGAGACCATAACTAATATCTTGGCTTCACTGTCTACAAGCTGCTTATTTATAACCAGTCAAATGTTCCATTTATGAGAGTTTGAAATAGAATAAGAGTGTTTCCTTACCAATATTTGGTATATCTGGTCCCTGGTCCTGAGTGAGTTCTTTGTTGTAGCGCAGGAATAGGATGGTGTTTTTAAGGGTCAGAGCGTGGTCGAAGTAGCGCTGGGCTTCTCCCTCGGCCGTACTCTCCACCTGAGAAAAAACATTTTGGAAGGTAAATTTGTTATTTTACCTTTATTTTACCAGGAAGTCCCTTGAGATAGAATCTCTTTTTCGAGGGAGACCTGGCCAAGAGGCGGCAGTACAGTAAGACATATAAGAACACATTTGTACATTCGGATCTATATTTTTAAAGATTGTATTTTTCAGTTTTATCATTTCTGTCCTATATTTTTATTTCTACATTTTATTTCTTGCTTCTCATAGAAGTGTTGTGTTGTGCACCTAACACCAAGGCAAATTCCTTGTAAGTCTAAAAACCTACTTGGCAATAAACCTTATTCTGATTCTGATTCTGACAGGACAACATATTAAAATCAATCAAAAACTAGACTCTAGAGTAACAGTTACAATGCTCTATGCAAGCGGTTTTCAATAGTGATTTAAAATGCTGTAGCGGAATAAGAGTCTGTAATTGCAGGGAGTTTTGGATATTGTGCCGTGACCATGGTGCTGCATAGAAAAATTATGTTTAGCCAAGATCTGTGTTGATCCTGGGAATAGTGTAAACACGACTTGAGTGTGAGTTGTAACCACTGTTAGCTACAGACATGAGGTGACAGGTATGGGGGGAGTTTACCCAGGATGGCCTTTTAAATTAAAGTAAGCCAATGATGTTGGAACAATCCTGAGTAAGGATATCTTAACTCATTGACTGGCAGCCATTTTCAGAACAGAGAGTCCCATACTACCAGAGTTTTTTGAGCATTTTGACTGATTTTTCAAGAGCCACAGAATAGTTTGTGCTATGACTACTTAAACACCGAACACACCAAAAGAAAGAGTAGACTCTCTTCTTTTATCAGGAAAAAAATGTGTTTCTACCTTATTCCGTTCTTCCTCGACTTGCGTCTCACCGGCGACATGTTCTCTCATCGCGAACCGTTACCTTTTTCTTATTTGCCTACAGTCTATGCTCATCTCCCATCTAAAGTGGCACTGCCACCTAGAGGGTCAATTTGTTACTACATACTCTGTCTAGAAGCCTGATATTTACGGACAAGCTTTAACAGATCGTCCCCCAGGCAACTCCCGTTGAAAAACATAAAAGACGTCTATAGACGTCTTTGGCAGCCAATGAGTTAAAGGCCCACAAAAACAACTTCACATTGCAGCCTCACCTTCTCCAACTCAGCCAGGAAGCTGTCCAGAGTCTCGTCGGATAGCTTCCCCACCTCGAACATGGTCACCGCGTGGCTCTTCAGGTTCTGACCAGATCACAGAGACATTCAGATCCACAGCTAAAGTCTGTCATTTCACCTCGTTTCTCGTTATATCTCCGGCAGGTTTCGTGCGAAAAATGCTTGTGTTTTGTGTCCACGAACCGGTGACAGGTTGCCCATCATCAGGA